AAGTTGCAAGCCGCCTCATGCAAAACTGAACGGATACATGTGTTGACGCAAAAATGTGCACACAAACATACATACATACACCTCATACACACACTTGCACACTACTCAACACACATGCATACTACAGAACGCACAATAGAACAAACACAGGAAGCGCATCACAACACTGGCATACCGCAGAGTGTAAAATCCTTTCTCTCCGCACGGTTAACTAAGGAAATAATTCAACCTAAACCATATCATGCCAGCATCATGCCAGGCCATGCCCCCCAAATCACATCATGCCAGGCCATGCCCCCCAAATCACATCATGCCAGGCCATGCCCCCCAATCACATCATGCCAGGCCATGCCCCCCCAATCACATCATGCCAGGCCATGTCCCCCAAATCGCATCATGCCAGGCCATGCCCCCCAATCACATCATGCCAGGCCATGCCCCCCAAATCACATCATGCCAGGCCATGCCCCCCAATCACATCATGCCAGGCCATGCCCCCCAAATCACATCATGCCAGGCCATGCCCCCCAATCACATCATGCCAGGCCATGCCCCCCCAATCACATCATGCCAGGCCATGTCCCCCAAATCATATCATGCCAGGCCATGCCCCCCAATCACATCATGCCAGGCCATGCCCCCCCAATCACATCATGCCAGGCCATGTCCCCCAAATCGCATCATGCCAGGCCATGTCCCCCAAATCGCATCATGCCAGGCCATGTCCCCCAAATCGCATCATGCCGGGCCATGCCCCCCAAATCGCATAATGCCAGGCCATGCCCCCAAATCGATTTGTGCTAGGCCATGCCCCCAAATCGCATTGTGCTAGGCAAAACCCCAAACCGAGTTGCACCCGGCCACCCCAGGCCCCGACAACATCCGCCCAGGTACCTCCCAGATCATTTTGCGTGGGCCCATTACTGGGAAGTTCAGCTGCGCAAGTCCTCGTGTTGCATTGATTCCATTTGACCATCCAACCGAAACCGTTGGTCATTATTAACGTTGATCACTCGATCGTTTACAGAACTGCTGTATTCGCCATTTATTTGATATTATATTATTAACCGTTATACGGCCGGTATGGCGTTTATTGTACGACACCATTCGTTCGGTCATTGTTCGTAGTTGGCGCTGCATGCAGCCAACAAGTTATTAAGCCTTGGAATGGCGGCAACTGATGATGATGATGACGATGATCATGATGATCATGATGCCGATGCGTCTATATGCCGCCGCCAACGTTGCCGCCGCCGCTAGCCAACTGGCCAGCAGCGGCGGCGCCCGGCTGGGTGCAGCTGGGTGCGGAGGAATTGCACCCAGCAGTGCACCTGAAGGAAAAGGGACAAGGCGGGGGAAGGGCGCGGGAGGCCAAAATACGGTTAGCAGTACGACACAACTAACACACACATAATTAGGTGACAGTTGCAAGCAAGGGTACCGCTGCTGGTCCCCACGACGCACACCCCATGCACCAAAACCCCAAGCCCATCCGCACCCACCTCAGCCGGGCCCATCATCAGCAACGCCCGCTCGGTGCCACTGGGGCGCACAGGTTGATGCCCCAGCCGCACCTGAAGAGGAGGTGCGCGATGAAGGGGGAAACGGCCAGAGGGGATAGGTAAGGGGGCAGCATACACGGGGGGGAGGGGGTAAAACACCAAATGTCATTATTTTGCCCAAAAGTCACAAGGCCTCGTTGCGACACGTGCGCTGCGGCCCTGCGGCCTTTTTCCGCGACCACTAGTTGAACCCAAATCACGAAGTACGCACCACACCCACACCCACGTCGCCCACCCACCCATCCACCCACCTGAGACGGGCGTTATAAAAGTACGGCCGGCCCCTGCGTGCGGGTGCCGGCAGGCCGGACGACTCGTACGCCCCGAGTCCCGGCAGCCAGTCGACCCTGCATTCGGGTCCTGGCACCAGGGAAGCTGCCGCAAACCCTGGCGATAAAGGGCCCGGGCCATGGCCACTGCTGCAGCTGCTTGCTGATCTGCCGGCTGCTGCTGCTGCTGCTGCTGCTGCTGCTGACTACATAATGAAAAAAGTAAAAATACGGTGACAGGAGGTGCAAAGGCCTGGGAAAACCCATAACCTCTACAACCCCGGCACCCTAATGCACGCCTTAGCTTATTAGGCTGAGGCGCATTACTAATCTATAATAACATATTTAAAACAGAGTAAATAAATAAGTAAATAAATAAAGCGGAAATAGATATCATGGTTCAGCTTTATTTATTCATCTATTTTTAATAAGGTGTAGCCTCCCCTTAATTAGGTAATCCCCAAACAAATGAAAATCAATTGTGCACAACCAGGGCTGTGGGCACCACAAACGAAAACACGACAGACTGTACACGCGCGGCAACAGCCGTGACACGCGCACACTCGCTGATGCTGGTTGTTGGCTGCTGGCTGATAGCTGCGTAGCGTAGCCCATTTAGGCAATATAACTGGCTGCAGCTGCTGGCTGGTTAGATAACGCTAGCTGCCATCCGCAAAACCCAGCGACGACAATAAAACCGCCGGTCACCACCAACTGTCCACCAACTGGATCAACATCTGCCAACCTCTTCCAACCAAACATATCTCCAACGGACAACTTCCACCATGACAACCATATTTCTCGACCCGATCCTCCATATCTTTGGACTCCCTTATTTCCTGCTTTGAACTAGTCCTTCCGTTTGCAACGAATGTCGTGGTTTGAGCAAGGATGTCTCCCTTTTCATCTTTCTTTTGTGCATGGTAGGTTTGAATTGATATCTTCCTTTATATCTTTTGTCTGTACACGGTAGAGTTTGGCATCAGCCAAACTAGGCCGTAGTTGTCTAAGGAAAAGGCCGCGGTGGCAGCAACACCAAAGGTGAAGAGCCGCAGCGGCGGCGGGGGAGGAGAAGTACACCGCCGGAACAGCAAAACGGCTGTCACGGTGAGAGGAAAAAGGCCGCGGTGGCAGCAACACCAAAGGTGAAGAGCCGCAGCGGCGGCGGGGGAGGAGAAGTACACCGCCAGAACAACAAAACGGCTGTCACGGTGAGAGGAAAAAGGCCGCGGTGGCAGTAACACCCAAGGTGAAGAGCCGCAGCGGCGGCGGGGGAGGAGAAGTACACCGCAGGAACAGCAAAACGGCTGTCGCGGTGAGAGGAAAAAGGCCGCGGTGGCAGCAACACCAAAGGTGAAGAGCCGCAGCGGCGGCGGGGGAGGAGAAGTACACCGCCAGAACAACAAAACGGCTGTCACGGTGAGAGGAAAAAGGCCGCGGTGGCAGTAACACCCAAGGTGAAGAGCCGCAGCGGCGGCGGGGGAGGAGAAGTACACCGCCGGAACAGCAAAACGGCTGTCGCGGTGAGAGGAAAAAGGCCGCGGTGGCAGCAACACCAAAGGTGAAGAGCCGCAGCGGCGGCGGGGGAGGAGAAGTACACCGCCAGAACAGCAAAACGGCTGTCACGGTGAGAGGAAAAAGGCCGCGGTGGCAGCAACACCAAAGGTGAAGAGCCGCAGCGGCGGCGGGGGAGGAGAAGTACACCGCCAGAACAGCAAAACGGCTGTCACGGTGAGAGGAAAAAGGCCGCGGTGGCAGCAACACCAAAGGTGAAGAGCCGCAGCGGCGGCGGGGGAGGAGAAGTACACCGCCAGAACAGCAAAACGGCTGTCACGGTGAGAGGAAAAAGGCCGCGGTGGCAGCACGGCCAAAAGGCGACGGCGAGACGCCGACGGCGAGACGCCGACGGCGAGACGCCGACGGCGAGACGCCGACGGCGAGACGCCGACGGCGAGATGCCGACGGCGAGACGCCGACGGCGAGATGCCGACGGCGAGACGGCCGACGGCGAGGCGCCGACGGCGAGGCGCCGACGGCGAGGCGCCGACGGCGAGGCGCCGACGATGAGGCACCGACGGCGAGACGCCGACGGCGACATGCCGACGGCGAGACGCTGACGGCGAGATGCCGACGGCGAGACGCCGACGGGGAGACCCCGACGGCGAGACGCCGACGGCGAGACGGGACGGCGAGACGCGGACGACGAGACGCGGACGACGAGACGTGGACGGCGAGGCGGCCGACGGCGAGGCGGCCGACGGCGAGATGCCGACGGCGAGGCGGCGGACGGCCAGGCGGCCGACGGCGAGGCGGCCGACGGCGAGGCGGCCGACTGCGAGGCGGCCGACGATGAGGCGGCCGACGGCGAGACGCCGACGGCGACATGCCGACGGCGAGACGCTGACGGCGAGATGCCGACGGCGAGACGCCGACGGGGAGACCCCGACGGCGAGACGCCGACGGCGAGACGGGACGGCGAGACGCGGACGACGAGACGCGGACGACGAGACGTGGACGGCGAGGCGGCCGACGGCGAGGCGGCCGACGGCGAGATGCCGACGGCGAGGCGGCGGACGATGAGGCGGCCGACGGCGAGGCGGCTGACGGCGAGGCGGCCGACGGCGAGGCGGCCGACGGCGAGGCGGCCGACGGCGAGACGCTGACGTAAGTCCTCGCCCAGGCTCGCTCAGACCGGCGGGGGGATCGGGCGGGAGGTGGGCGGGGAAATACACACACACACGCTGTTATTCAGCTAGCAGGGGACGCAACGAGCACAGACTTTGCACGGCAAAACAACATGAGCAGCTGCGCACAAAATGTAGAAACATACTAATAAGCAGACAGGCGGATCGCGGGAAGTTTCAAATTCTCCATCACAATTAAAACGGTAGCATCCCCACACATACCCACACATACGTATACATGCGTGAGCGTGCACACACACACACACACACACACACACACACACACACACACATACTCTTACACACAACTACATACACACGCGCGCGAGAGAGAGCACATTCTCACCCACATTTGAACACCTACCTACCTACATACATACATACATACATACAATCGCACAGAAATACAAGCCACTGAACACCGCAACAATAACCACCGGCCGGCTTTGCAGCTTCTATCTGTGTTTGCTGACCTTATCTTTGCAGTTTGCTGCCTTTGTGCTTTTGCTGTCGCTGTTGCTGTTGCTGCTTGCCGGCACAACAGGAGAAAAACACCGCGCCACGAAACACCCACAGCAAGAAACTTTGCTCCGAACGTATGTACGACATCACTAAATCACGAACGGACACAAAGTGGCACCCACGCAGTGAACATACGGGGAAAGACCTTCATGCCATACTCCCTACACGCCGTACCTTGCCAAGGTACAACAATTTCATACCGAAATCCCCCTCCGTCACCAACTCGTCTATCCATGTGCAACACGTCTTCTCCCATAGAATCCAAGAACCTGCCCAGCACACCCACCTGGCGATTGTGACGTCAGCTCGGCCGCTAGTGGAGGATGATGACGAAGGCAGTGCGCGGCAGCGGCTGATGCACGCGAGGGGCCCTTGGGGTTCCAGTTCTACACACTCGCTGGTGCCAGGTCCCCTCGATCACACCTGCAAAAGGAGCAAGACAGTTGCCTTACTATGAAAGTCGAAATGAGCAGTCGTCTCTGTCGCGAGGAAGGTCAAGGACATCGGACGAAGTGGTCATGTCTCGCCTAACGACGTGTACTTTTCTGCCAAACTGTCTAGCTTTCAGCCTTCGTAGCCTCCTTACACAGCGTAAGCATAATTGTCGGGATTACGCTCAAACGCCGCATACGCCCATATCCTTGCAGCAGAGCGTTGCACAAACGTCGAAAGCCCGTCGACAAAGCCACCTTGATGCTTCAAATATCCATACATGAACACGAGAGACAAGCAACTCACCTCAAAAAAATTGAGTCGCACGTTGCCCTCAGCAGACGAGTTAGGCATGTCGATGTCCGTGAAGCGGCGACGCTGTGCCTGGAGCAACGTCAGCAGGGGATAAATAAATAAATGATTGAGCCAGCCGCGTAATAAATTAGAGCAATGGAACTGAAGTGCGGCGGCTACAGCGTGAAGGTTTTGCAATGAACAGTACCTTGCAAACGTTTGCAGGGTCCAAAGCAGCTTCTCGGAACTCCACGCAGCTGTTCATATGTTCTAACTCATTTGCTGGTGATATGTAGGAAGCTAGCAGCTTTGACGAACGCAACAGAGGTGGAACAGGCCAAAATACGTTGTGTAAAAGCCAGAGATTATATATCGGGCGTTGTGCACATTTGCTAAAAGAGCTGGAAGTGCTATGGAAGGTGACTTTTGTCAGAGGCCAGCTTGATTGTACGGCGTCCGGTAAAGGTGCGCAACAGCTGCAAATCCAGGTGGTGTGTTGGTAAGGTGCAGATCGGCGAACTCACTTTGTCAACAGTTAGCCTATTTATATTTATATTATAGCTGCATGTCACTGCATTATCACGTCCACTCCCGTTCCTCTGCACCTGGTTACGTCCCCGGAAGCAATATCCCTCAGTGCAAGCCCTTGAAAACAACATATCAAGTCATCATGAAGGCCGCTGCTCCATTTTTGCTTATGCGCAAAGCGGGCGATTGACGTATTCTGCTCATGGCGGAAGTGCCACGAGCTATTGATACAGCGTTATGGATCTTGAAGCTCTTCTTGCGTGTCTAAGATGCTTTGAGTCATGTTTGCTCACAGGAGGAACTGCGGCCCGAACAAGGGCGCCACCGAACTACTATCATGGAGGGCTTCCTTTGACAGGGCTAAGCCCTATACACACCTTACGGGTTCCAATCTTCCGTTAAACGCAGGCCTTAGGTGCTCCGAGGAAAAAGCGACATACCGAAGGTCATCGTCAACCACCTACACAATGACAAGGATGCTGGCGCCCTCACCCTCGCTGTCACCAGCACCAGCACCGTCCTCGTCACCCAGCACTGCTGTGAGCAGCGAGATCGTGCCCCGCCCAGCTCCCTACCACCCTATATCCATCCCGTTCACCCTCGCCCGTTAGCCCAACCCGCCACATTTCCGTTCCCTATCACTTGTTGCCATCCATCCCTTGCTCCAACAAGTTCAAGATCAGCTCCATCACTCTGCTGTCATCCCAACACCAAGTGACAAGATGTAATCAGCAGCTGCCTTCATGGTGGCGACCGAGCTGCGGTAGCCTGAGAGTGGTCCACAGGGTGGCTGCAAGACAGACGGTCCGACACATCCAAGTACAAGAGAGTGTATGTATGTATGTGTGTGTGTGGTCAAGCCGAGTCAAGCTTGCGCATTTCTGTGTTAAATGTTCGACACGACTTGACTGATGGCTTGTTATGATGTCCTGAGTCCCAGGGGTCGCAGGTCGTTCACTCCCTTCCAAGTGCCAACTTCTCAGTGGATCGCTCAGGTTCCACACCCATCACCGGGGAATTTGCAAGATCGAGGGCGGCTGAACTCCATTCCTGTTCAGCTCACAAGTCAACTTTATCCCAGGCCACCACCGTCCATCGACGAGGGGCACTTTTACCTTCCACCATCGGAAGGATTTTCAACCCTAACAAGTTCCAAGTTCCACACTTGCGTGCCGAACCCACACTTGCATGCGGGTGTGTCCGTAAAAGCCGGGGGTCCATGGATGTTATATTAGTAGTATTGATGCGGGTACACAAGTGGTGCTCGGTGCCATAACCATGCCCACACCCAGCCTGGCTACCGGCGCGTAGCCTGTTGCCCTCACAGTAATTGATAAGTCGCCTCCCGATGATATTGCCGTAACTTTTGCATAGTGGGCCCCCAACCGCAATGCCCCGATAACTGTCGCAGCAGTACGCGTCCCCCTTTTTGTATACGAGGAAAAGGGTGCTAGTCGTGAATATTCAGCTCGCGGATATTCAGCTCCGTATATGCGGTTGCATAGCACCGTTAAGTAAGGCGCCAACACAAACACGGGCCGCTGCCCTTCACTCTCCCTGATAGCGTACCTATAATACCTATAATACTCGGCCGGGGTTCCCTCCAGGCCCGCGGACAGGCTATGTTGCGCATAGCCTTTAGACCGCTAACAATTTCGCCCTCCGTTTAATCCTTGTTAAGCCAAGCAACTAATTCCTGTCGGTGCATCACCCGGTCCTCATCCTGCCATTTAAACTGGATACCCTCGTTGCAGCCTTGCCTCGCGTTTCCCGCACCATTAAGCACCTTGGAAAAATGCTCGGTAAAAGCATTAATATCTGAGATCCAGCAATCAGGCGGTTTTCCCCCACGCAGCCATGTCCACAAGCCGCGTGGGTTGGACAGGGTGGCCTTAATCCTCCTCCGCATATTTTCCAATTCGGTCTCCTGAATAGCGGCCTTCCTAGTAGCCTCCTTAAAGACACGGTGCTTGGCCTTCCAGGTAGCCCTATGAATGTCCGGCAGCTTGCCCGAGACGGGGTCCCTGATCTCCTTACGGAAACTCATCATATCATTCCATGCAGCGGCAGAGTCCTCGTTCCACCAGTCACGCTTCACAAAATTCACCTTTTTACCCATGCGACGCCGAACATCTCCCTAGCATACGTCCCGATTAGGGTGCGCAAGTCATTCATGCTTCATCACAAGAGCC